GTGAAATAAAACAGTTATTATAGTTTTTTTGAAGGTGCGTTCCTTAAATTTTTTTTTTTTTTTTTTTTAACAAGACAACCGAGCACCCGATCTCTGCTCTGAGATGTCCCATCCTGCTGCTGTCATTACTGGAAAACTTGCTCTGTAGAGTGACACAGTATAATCTCAGGACACTTCACAACAGGTTAAGAAGAAGATTTCTCCAAGTCGGTAGAAAACCTTAACGAGGTCTTTGACAGCCAGTGACCTCTCTTCCATGCTCTAGCAGCACTAATATGGTCTCTAAGGAAAAAAACAAATGATCTAAAACTCCCATGATAACCGTTTAGACAAGAAAAGGGCAGCAGGTGTATCATTTATATTTAAGATAATATCTGGCCTCATATATCGATATGCTGACAGTTTTCTAATCAGAAATCTCATGGCTTGAAATTGGGAATATTTAATTTACAGTCTGTGAGTTTAAGATTCTTAACAAGATACTGTTGTCATATGAATAATTCCAGGTCAAAATAAGCATCTGGGACTGTTTTCTTGTCTCCAGGGTGGAGCAGGCAGATCTGACTCTGGTGGTTGTGGACTGTGCCCATCTGCCCTCGGATGCACAAGAAGCTGCAGCCTTCCTTCTGGCACACCTGAAGAGTATTCTGCCTGAGACGGGTATGATACCTCCATATCTTTCACTTTCAGACTCCCAACTGTCTTTGAAAGCATTTCAAACACAGTAAAGGAAATATGTTTGACTGTGATTGACTTGCATCTCAAAGTTTGTGTTGAGGTTAAACTGCTCTGTTGTTTGACTCCAGCATGCATGTGTTGTGATAGTAGTCATTCCCTTATATCTCTGTCTTGTGTTATTAAGTGGTTGCATGGTAGGGTAATCTGAGCCAGAGAGTATAGACCATCTGGTTAGTTTTAAGGCATTAAAAATAATAAAATAGAAATGTCTGTGAGGGAGTAATTGTTTAATTATTCACAGTGATTAACAACTCTTTCCTAACCCATGTAGAAAAAAGTTTTGCATCATTATCACAGATAAAAAAAATGTCTCTTATTCATAGCATTTCCTCCAACGAGGTGTCTCCTGGTGCTGAATAAAACCGACCTGCTCCATGGAGATCAGAGACAGAAGCTGGACTGGGAGCTGAGACGGGTCTGTGGACTTCCTCCGGTCTGTCTGATCTCATGTCACACTAACGAAGGACTGCAGGACTTTGTCACAGTGCTACACAACAGTGTCAAGACTCTGTGAGTTGCACTAATTTGTCCTGCTACAGTTTATTGTACCGTTTATGTGTCATTAAAATGTTGCATCAGAAAGAATGATTTCTTCTGCAGGACCTGTGATGCATTTATATTATTAAAATAAATATAAACATGGATTAATATTAACTTGCCATCATTATGACAAGCTTCCAAAAGTACAGTGCCTTGCGAAAGTATTCGGCCCCCTTGAACTTTGCAACCTTTTGCCACATTTCAGGCTTCAAACATAAAGATATAAAACTGTAATTTTTTGTGAAGAATCAACAACAAGTGGGACACAATCATGAAGTGGAACGAAATTTATTGGATATTTCAAACTTTTTTAACAAATAAAAAACTGAAAAATTGGGCGTGCAAAATTATTCAGCCCCTTTACTTTCAGTGCAGCAAACTCTCTCCAGAAGTTCAGTGAGGATCTCTGAATGATCCAATGTTGACCTAAATGACTAATGATGATAAATAGAATCCACCTGTGTGTAATCAAGTCTCCGTATAAATGCACCTGCACTGTGATAGTCTCAGAGGTCCGTTTAAAGCGCAGAGAGCATCATGAAGAACAAGGAACACACCAGGCAGGTCCGAGATACTGTTGTGGAGAAGTTTAAAGCCGGATTTGGATACAAAAAGATTTCCCAAGCTTTAAACATCCCAAGGAGCACTGTGCAAGTGATAATATTGAAATGGAAGGAGTATCAGACCACTGCAAATCTACCAAGACCTGGCCGTCCCTCTAAACTTTCAGCTCATACAAGGAGAAGACTGATCAGAGATGCAGCCAAGAGGCCCATGATCACTCTGGATGAACTGCAGAGATCTACAGCTGAGGTGGGAGACTCTGTCCATAGGACAACAATCAGTCGTATACTGCACAAATCTGGCCTTTATGGAAGAGTGGCAAGAAGAAAGCCATTTCTTAAAGATATCCATAAAAAGTGTCGTTTAAAGTTTGCCACAAGCCACCTGGGAGACGCACCAAACATGTGGAAGAAGGTGCTCTGGTCAGATGAAACCAAAATCGAACTTTTTGGCAACAATGCAAAACGTTATGTTTGGCGTAAAAGCAACACAGCTCATCACCTTGAACACACCATCCCCACTGTCAAACATGGTGGTGGCAGCATCATGGTTTGGGCCTGCTTTTCTTCAGCAGGGGCAGGGAAGATGGTTAAAATTGATGGGAAGATGGATGGAGCCAAATACAGGACCATTTTGGAAGGAAACCTGATGGAGTCTGCAACAGACCTGAGACTGGGACGGAGATTTGTCTTCCAACAAGACAATGATCCAAGACATAAAGCAAAATCTACAATGGAATGGTTCACAAATAAACATATCCAGGTGTTAGAATGGCCAAGTCAAAGTCCAGACCTGAATCCAATCGAGAATCTGTGGAAAGAACTGAAAACTGCTGTTCACAAACGCTCTCTATCCAACCTCACTGAGCTCGAGCTGTTTTGCAAGGCGGAATGGGCAAAAATTTCAGTCTCTTGATGTGCAAAACTGATAGAGACATACCCCAAGTGACTTACAGCTGTAATCGCAGCAAAAGGTGGCGCTACAAAGTATTAACTTAAGGGGGCTGAATAATTTTGCACGCCCAATTTTTCAGTTTTTTATTTGTTAAAAACGTTTGAAATATCCAATAAATTTCGTTCCACTTCATGATTGTGTCCCACTTGTTGTTGATTCTTCACAAAAAATTACAGTTTTATATCTTTATGTTTGAAGCCTGAAATGTGGCAAAAGGTCGCAAAGTTCAAGGGGGCCGAATACTTTCGCAAGGCACTGTATCTTTATACATCCTAAAATTGCCTTTATCCTATTCTCCTGGTAAGACAGTTACTGCAGTAGATTTTGTTCTACTGAAACTATACAACATATGACACATCCTTCTAATAACCTTTAAATGAAAAAAGAAATTCTAAATGTTTGTGCTACAAATGATTTTTGTAATGTGATTTTCACCCTTATGTTTGCTCTCTGGGTCTGGCTTTCATTCATTGTAAACCAAAAACACAATGATGTGTTTTATTGCTCTGGTGCTTCCTCTGCAGGTGTGGCGACCCTCTTTCTGGCGCCCCCACCCTGACCCAGGCCCGTCACAGGGCCCACCTGCAGCAGTGCGTGACAGCCCTGGCTCAGTACCAGCAGTATCGTGACACTGACCTCGCTCTGGCAGCTGAGGGTGTCCGGCTAGCTCTCACCAGCCTGGGCCGAATCACTGGACGGGTCGGGCCAGAGGAGATCCTGGATATAATCTTCAAAGACTTCTGCATTGGAAAATAGCCAGATGAGTAGGTGAGAACACATGAAATACATGATAGTAGCCTTGCAGAGAGGAAGGCTGTGTTCTTGTTTGGTCCCAGAGTATCAGTAGAGAAAACAGAAGGGCAAGCCTTTTCACTGTGCTAGGCATCAAGCGCACAGCCATTCAAAAGAATAAAACTTCTTGGCTGTAGAATCACAGATATGTTTGTTTTCTGCTGAAACAGTTTTTTACCAGCTGAAACAGTGTTTGTGTGATGAGTGACAGGTGCCTTAGAGGCCCCACATGCTGGATGAGTGTTTGGCAAGTCTTGAGTTATAATTTAACAATGGATTGTGAAAGCCTGTCATAGATGAATATTGGGCTTTTGGGTCGCATCATAACAGCTGAGATAGATCATTTCAAATAAAACAAGCTGTAGACCTCTGCAAAGTCATAGACTCAGTTTGGATGTTTACTTGTCCCGCAGGACAAGGTAGAATTGTTTTTGGGAGCAAGTACCATTTCAGCTGTACCCCCTTTGTGTGTTTCTGACCACCAGACAAAGGTATCTTAGAATTTTAAGTTTTGCCTAGTATAAAATAAAACCTGTATAACTTGTAGATTTAATTGGTGACGTCTAATTTCCTGATACACAGTGGCTGTCATCATAATATGTACATTACTTTGTTGGGCCAGATTGATTCCATTGTTAACTACATTTTTCATCCAGCTCCCACCATAAAGCATAACGTAATAGACATACAGTATGTAGAGAAGGTTAGAGTGACCCAGGTTCCCTGTCTGCACTGTGGGAAAGGTTTTTAGGAGCAGTGCTCTCTGTGCCCTTTGTTTCCCTGTCAATCTGGCCTTGATCGGATATTTATGCTTCTTGTTTTGAACCGCTTACCCTTCTTCCCCAGTTAGTTTCATCTCTGACGACATTTGCTTTGCTGCATACCAGTATAACGGCCCATCTGCCTGCCTTATTGTGTTGCTCTGCTACCTGACGTTCTTCCCGCTCTCAGTCTTTTTGTTCTCTTTCATGTTCTGCCTGATTTATTGCAGCACATGAGGGGAGATAGTTCAAGCTAAAAGCGGTACTTGCTGTCATACAGTTAGAGGCAGTAAATTTTGGATTCTTGGTTCATCTTTGAAGTTGCACCAGTGCGTCATATCCTTTAGATTGCAGTGTTCATTACAACTAAGACTTGTGTCTTTCTTTAACAGTGTTTCCCCTAGGCTTACAGCTTTGGTAGTGCGGCGGCGGTGGGGTGGGTGATCGTGTAGAGACAGAAATGACATGCCATCATGTAAATAAGATAAATAACATAAGGCTATTTAGTTTGTTTAATAAAAGAACAAGGTATAGACCTGTTCTATAGGAAAGGTAACCTTAAATGACTTCCGTTGTGATCTGGCGCTATATAGGAAATAAAATTAACTTGACCTTCAAAGGGGGGGGGATGCCCCCTTAATATAATGTTAGGGGAAACACTGACTAAAAGCAAAGCAAAACAGGGAAAGGCCTTGATAGCTGCTGCTGTTATGTGCGGCTGCCATCTTGGTACAGGGCCACGGTGCCTCTTAATGCATGTCATGGGGGCATCTCAGGAGGATTCCCAGCTTGTCCAGTCTATGTGTGAGCACTTGAGTGTGAATGGGTGAATGGCCAAGTAGTGTGAATGCCAGCATAAACTATAGAAACGTACTATAGAAGTATAAGACCATTTACATTTGTGGCTCAGGAGGTAGAGCGAAAGGCAAATGTAGAAAACATGAGAACACGTTATTTAGATAACACTTTATTTTAGAGAACTCTTTATCACTCCATGCACATCTGATGTATTTGTCCTGACATTTAAGTCTATTGTTTCAAATACATCAAGGTTGCAGTCCAACACAATGCGATAAAGTCAGCTCTCAACACACACCAGCTTTTACTGAAGCTATGTGCAATGTTGTTGCTTCCAAGTTTTTACACAGATAGTTTATGATTTTATTTATTTTCTTACTTTCATGTGTGTTTATTTTCTATATTTTTATTTAATTGCAATTATCAATCAAATATTTTACCCTGTCCTTAAAGCACTTTGGTTAACTTTTGCTGTTTTTAAATGTGCTCTATCAATAAACTGACTTGATTATATTTTTTAATCATGAGTCATTTTGACTTTATCCTCCACAATTTCTTCTCCTGTTTTGATTTTGCTTCTGGTTTTTACTTCAGGCATTTGTGGATTTGACAAGGACCATTTTTGAACAAGTGCGCTGCGGGGACATCAAGATCCAGGATGGCTGGGAGGGGGTTAAGAGTGGATTTGTTTTGTCTTTTGGATGCTTATTTATGGCTCTCACCAAACTTTGGGCACTTTGTCAACATTCCTAACAGCGTAGACGCACAAGAAACATCCTAAACCCTCACTGCTCTGTGTGCCTGTCTGTGGGACTGCAATGTAAACGGTTCTAATACAGTATCTGTTTTATTTGTTGTTGCTGCGCATCTCTAAAAGATCAACTGTGCCAAGACTAAGTTATGCTTCTTTCTTTTCAAGCATAACACTCACACATTCAAATTATTACCAAATAGATACCATTATGCAAAAAAGTATTATGTTGGTAGGAAAATAATACAGATAGAATGCAGTGAATTGCAGAAGAACTCTCATGTTACCAGTAGGAATTCTGACTATTGACATATCCACCGATCAGGCATAACATTATGACCACTGACAGGTAGTGATGGGTAATCAATGACGGGATTCAATGACACAGTGCTTGAGTAGGACATCTTGTGGTCAATAAAATGAAGTGTAATTGAGATGTGTCATTTATTGGTTCATGGATTGTTTGGGATTCGATTCGCCATGCACACTCCTGTTTGACTACAATACATGATTGTATGGTTTCAAGCTGACAATAATATATAGAATAAACATGGACTCATGTTGAAGACCATGTTTCTTATTTGGCATGTTTGATTGTAGTAGGCTATAGCTGTATACTTAGCCTGACATTTAGGATAATAAATTACTTTATTTGGCCAAGCATGTTACACACACACACACACAAGGAATTTGTGTGTACAGAACCGGAAACATGATATGAATTATATTCTATCCTAAAACAAGTCTAAATAGCCCATGGCTTGAAAAACCTTGAATATTGGGTGTTCAGTAGGCTAGATGGTAAATGTGATCTTATTTCAAATGTTTTATTGAGCTAAATAACACTCAGCTCTGTCGGGAATGGAACCCAGGTGACATTATTACAAGAGCATGGTTTTCATGATGCATCACAAACTCCAATCACATTGCTTCATGGTCATTTCACCTATTTGAATAAAGGGAGCTACTACACTGCATGATCCTTCATCAACTCCCACCAATGTGCATGTTACAGCAACTGTTTTCATTTAGTCTGAGTATCATGGTTTAGTAATGTTATAGAATCTTTAGTACTGAATGGAACACTGTCAAACCAAATGTCTACTTAGTCTCTATTTGCTGCCAAGGCTCAGCTCAACTCTCCCAAAGAGCCCAACCAAACCAGTGACAGGGTTTCTATGAAAGAAGCAGTAAAGTGCATCAACGGTCACTGGTCACGTGACCAAACCATGCCTCGGCACAGTGGGTCGATACAACCGCTTCATGAGCTACCGTGCATGTGTCAGAGCCTCGGGTGTCAGAGGACCATCACCACTGACAGGTGAAGTGAATAACGCTGATGAGCTTGTTAGAGCCACCTGTCAATAGGTGGGGTTTATAATGCAGCAAGCTAACAGTAGTGATGGGCAGATGAAGCTTCATGAAGCAATGAAGCCTTTCATCCAATTGGTTCACTCCAGCGCAAAGCTTCATTTGCTCTAGTAGGACATCTACTGGATGCAACAATATCAGTTGGCATGAATTTGAAGTGTGTGGCATTTTGCAGAAAGCCTGTGAATAAAACTGTCAGCAAAATAAAGAAGTATGCAAAACATGTATATTGTAGTGATGGCAGTATACTGTGTATATATATATACTGGCAGTATGGAAAATGATTATTTGGAAATGATGAAAATGGAAATGATTATTTACAGTGAGGTGAGGGGGGTTGGGGTATGGACAATGATTGTGCTTTTGTAACGTTGAGGTATGGCCAGTGATTATGGTTTAGGGGACACATCATTGGTTTTTATTTAAAAACAACAGTT